ACATTATACCTGTTGGGGAAAATATACTACATTTGCTTTGCATTGTCCCCGCATGATTGCAATAATATAGTAGGATCCAATTAAATTCTTGATTAATATGTTGTACAGTGTTTTAAGATCTTGTTAAATGTGCCTTTTTTTACCTTTGAGCCCCTGTCCCTCCAAAGGTGCCTGCATGGCCCTGCGTCCAGCAATCAGAGAATGGGTAGAAATCATTCGTGGCCAGAGCAAAAAGGGAGAATTCTGTAACGCTGGACATACATGCAACAGCTTTCAATAATCTAACAAGGAACCTTGGACTAAAGGGACCGAACAGTACAGGAGGGAGAAATCAAAACGGTTAGCAGCAGTAGCAGTTGGTATTTGTATAACCAGCTGATGAATGAATGAATCATGATTCAGATGTTGTTTTAAGTTATCGCTTTAGCTTTACTGTTTGACTGTTGTCGTGTGACAGAGTGGTAACCTCACTGCTCACCAATAGATAGATTGATTGATCGATTTGGGCATTTTAAGTTCTACGCTATGATAACATGAACCAAACTTCTTACACTGTCAACATGTGATGATCAGACATCCTGTCAGAACAGAATTCATGGTTCCATCAAAGCCCCCATCAAAACATATTTTTGTCTGTTTCGTTTTGTATGTTTGCAGAATTGCTGAGTTTTGGTCCAAACCTGGCTTCCACGACAACACCTTGGAGAAACACAGAGAAGTGATTGCTTCTGGCAGTTATTGACTTTTTGTTGTCTTTTCCAAAGCTGCATAGCAAACACTCTTTTCTTTACATGCATCATTATACTCCTTTTCAGTGCCATGAACAAAGAAGGATAAGTCAGAGCCATGTAAAGAAATGCTAGAATCCATGTTGAGGTTGAAAAATCTATAACAAATTGATTTTTTTTACTTATTATACATGGAGATTTTGACACAAGAAGCATGTTTTTACTTTGGCAAACTTTGTCTTGGCCTCTCTTTAAGCATTTCAGTCTCTGAACTTAATGTCTCATAAAAATAGGTCTTAAAAGACCTGGGTCTGGCTTCTCTAGAGCCTGTTCAAAGCTCCCACTAAGACTGAAGTTCTGCAAATTGCTTACGCCTCCACAGGATGAATCGGTTGTGAGCGGAAGTTATTCAAATAAAAACTGTTCTGGTATTTTTCATAGAAGTAAATATTATTCCATCCCTCTTGCACCATTTGTGTGAAGCAGTAAAGAAAAATCACAGTGCTCTCTGATGTGTTTGGGGGGGGAAGCTTTTTTTTAAAAAAAAAAAAAAGGTAATTAAGAATGCAGGGCATTCTCTCTGAACATCTTGTTATTTAGATGTTAATTTATTGAAAGCTGTGTCAGTAGTCAAAAATGTCATCTTGCGCCAGCAGAGATAGGGAAAAAAGCAGAGCTAAAAGCAAATGAAGGCGGGGTCATTGACTGCTGCGCAGCTTTCATCAAAGTTTTACCAGCCGTCATTAAACACATAATGCACATTAGTCTACGCTCACATGGACTGAATAAACATCAGGAGGACTCATTTTTCTCTAGAAGCATAGACTTATTTGAATTGGAGTTGTTTTAATGGACAGAAAAATTTTACGGTTTCCTGCCATATATGCACTTTCAATAACAGGGTGGTTAAAACAGGGACAAAAGCCGGCATTTTCACAGTCATTAGGAACGCGGAGGATTTGCTACAACAGCACACAGTGAAAGAATGTGAAATGTCAGTGGAGGCAAAGAAAGTACTGCTGTGTGTTAAAAAGAAAGATAGCTGAATATGGATTTACTTCACTGTACTTATAGACACAATTCAAAGAAAAGCACTGAATGGAGGTAGTATTGTTACAGGTAGTTGCCAGAGTGTCTAACAGTCGTCAAGTCAAGCTTATTTGTTCAACACATTTTGACAACAAGGCAGTTCAACGTGCTTAACATCATAAAAACATCATACTGAAACAAGCGATAAACATTATATTTGGCCAAGTATTAAAATGATCAAGAAAATACAAATCAAATATGTTGATCAATATGTTGACGCACTTAGTACTAATGTAAGGCAACTCTAAACTCTAAGGGGGGTTTTAAGCCTGGATTTAAAGGAACTCAGTGTTTTGGCTGTTTTGCAGTTTTTTGGGAGTTTGTTCCAGATTTGTGGAGCATTGAAGCTGAATGCTGCTTCTGGTTCTGGGGATGAACCAGAACACAGCTTCTTGTTCGTTGGCCTGTCGCAGTTATTTTTAGTGCAAGTTCTCTGTTTATTTTTCATTAAATACTCTGCTTCAATTACGTTCTGCATTCGGGTTCTACCTTAAACCAAATCTCAGTTTTCAGGATTTTCAGGTTTTATAAAATATATAATATAAAATGTTTTGGCTAAGGTTTAAATTATGGAGTAGCATTTTCCAAGTTGAAGTCGATACAGAACCCAGTTTATTCGGTATTTTTAAGAGTTGGTACACATCTGTTAGGGTGACAATGATCTGGCTAACTGCATTAAAAATAGGCCAGCTCAATCTCCAAAGGAAAACTGTTTCTAGTGACCCTGTAAGTAAAAAAATATAAAGACTAGTCTTTCAGAACTATTACTGACTCTGGTACAGGTAGGCTGCTAATTAATCAAACATCAGGGAAATGTAGCAGATAACTTCTCAGAGGATTCTTCAGCTTTAAAAAAAGAAAATACACAATCCAAACTAATGCTTGACTTTAATTTCTTCTGTACTTCAGACCAACCTTTGAAAACTTTGACAAACTTTTGCAACTCAGCTCAATAGGGAGATATCAGAGCTCCGTCCACTGTTTCTTTTGAACTGACAACGCAGACAGGGCGAGCCAAAGACTTGAGTCAAATTTAAAGGCACAGAATGTGCATTATAATGTGGGTGAAAACAACCAAGAAACATGAGTTAAAAGTAAAACTTATTTTATTTTTACTATAATGATACAGAGCAGATATTTATTTCCTAAATCCAGATAAAGTTTAATTTTGGCCTCGACTCTTATAAACCTGTTGCTCCCAGCTATGTTCAGAACTAAACAACCATCGAAACATCTACAAGAAACAAGATGACCGTTACCTTCTGCTTAAGCACTTAATGACTGTAATGACTAAAATCAATATTTTCTCATCAAATGAATGTCACCCAGTCTGCCAATAACACTGTAGAGCTATTGGTTAACAATTGAAATGTTTCCTGTTTGTCCTCAGGCATGTCTGAATTAAACATTCAGACATGCAATAATTTAGGACTTATTTTACTATTTAATATCAATTATCTATTAACCGTTTAATATTTTATTCAACCTGCAAAAACTGCCATAATAAAATTTAAATCAAAGACAATTGGACAAATGAAACATTTACTCTATAAAAATGCAAATATTAATTTGTGTTTCAAGAGAAACAACGGGAAGAGAGCAACAATTTCTGAATGAGTATGTGGAGGGGAAAACAATCGGAGGCCACTCGGTGACAAGTCTGCAAAAAGGGGAGGACAAAGAAGTTGTCCTTGTGTCTTTATTATGCCACGGAGGTCTAATCTCTATTGAAGTTGCAAGAATAACAAATAGCTATGTTGGTACATGCACAGAAACATAAGAAGTTTGTCCTCCCACTGTCACTCTCAGCTAATCAGACTATTTCACAGATGTCAAATACAGCTGCAGACAAAAGGTCACTGGACAGATTGAAGACAATAAATAGATAAAATGCTGGTATTGTGTTCATGACATGGAATATAATGAAATAACTTCAGACTTAGGGCTTTTCAGGGCAGAGATGTGTTACAATGAAATCAGTCATTCTCAATCGCACACACATTCACAATCTTTGAAATATGACTTCAATATTAAGATATTTAGTATCTAATATAAATTAAATCTGTTTTTGTTTACACGTTAAGATTCTGAGAGCCATGTTTAAAATGTTGTAATCATCTGTTTATAATCCCGCAAATTCCTCATTGCTGAAAAATAATATGCTTTAATTCAAAGCTATTCATTTTCAAGTCATTCATTTTCAATGAACTTTTGTACAGTTTTATTTCTAAAAGTCCTATACGTCAGTTCTTTTCAAACTTTTATCTTTTTTTTATCTTCCAGTCTAAAATGAAAAACTATCCCTTTAAGAAGTGTTTGTGTTCACCAATCCCAAAGGTACATCTAACATTTTTCACACTTTATGAGCAACACAAACACTTGCATCAGAATTTTAATCTCTTCATTTGATTTCACTTCACTCCAGGCTGAAGTAAAGTGTATACATTCACTAAACCAAATACTTACTTGCTGGGAAAGAAATTACTCTGCAGTATTTATCTTGGGGTGAGACATACACAAAATCTGCGGAGCATTGAGACAGATATAAACTAAAATGTTAAATAGGCAAATATACTGAGTTGCTCTGATTAAAGCCACTTCTAGAGTCTGCAAATAAATACTCACTGAACTGAAAATGGAAGAAAAACATGATCCAACTCATCTAGTTGCACTTTTTTTGTACAAGCATGCAAATAGAGATTACTGAATTTAATCAGTAAAAATATCTGAAAGCTTTTTACAAAGGAAAAACTATTGTTCAACAGTTGCCTCTTTGCAAAGACAGCTATTTTAGTAGAAAGGAACCTTTGGCTAAAGCACACCAGGACCTCCATTGTTTGCCTGAAGCAGTTAGGGTAAGGTAACACTAAGGGGGAAAAAAGAGAGAAAGAAAATAGAAACATTTAAGCAAATTACATTTCCACTGATGTAGAAGAAACATTGAAGAAAGGCTCTTTGAGATATGATATAAAGACAGTGCAGCAGATACAAAATGTGTTGGAGGACAGAGTCAGTGTTTTGTTGAAGGTTTTCAAGTCTCAGTCAAACATCAAGGTGAAGACTAAGAAGAAAGTGATCTTTCTTTACATCCAATATTGTGGATGCAAAGTTTTCTTCTTAGTGGGATAAAGTTTTAGAAAGTTAGAAATACAAAATCTTGCTGAACAAATCATCAGAAAAAGAAAGTCAACCTGTCTTTACAAAGACTGACCAGGAATGGAGGTCTATATGGAAACCTGAGATCTGAAGAGAAAAGTTGGAGCTGGGTGGATATGCTGAGCTTTGAAAGCATTTTCTCTTGACATTCCATAAATTCAAAGTGTTATTATTCATTTGAGGGTAAATATGAAGAAAGTATATTGTCACAATTTGACCTTCCTCTCCACCTCATCTGTGGTGGAGAGGAAGGTCAGACTGCTGATCTGAAGAGGAAGCAGTCGATCGTTTTGTGTATTCTATTTATTGTAAATAAACATCTTTCAACTTTCCCCAGATTATGGTCTGATTTCTGGATCTTGCTCATTTTTAATCCATTAGAAAATTGGACTCTAGAATGAAAAGCATGCTCAAACTGAACTCACAAGTGTTGCAGGCAACCCATTCCTCAGAGCTCAACTCCCAAATTCTGGAGGTAGTCTGGCTTCATGCCCTGGGGTTGTATTGCTTCACATTCAGCTAGACTTTTGGCTAAAATTAACAGAATAATGAAAAGCTAAAAATCAGTCAATTTTATGCCCCAACCTTTAGGTGTCTGCTAGACAACTCAAGATGGAGAAGAAGAGTTTTGGCTTTTGGCGTCAGAGTGAATTGAGACAAACATCTAAATCTAGAATAGAATGTCTTCACCACTTGAAAATAGATATTTTGTTATGGTCTTTACCTGAAAAGGAGAACAGATCTCACAAGGTTTGGACTTTAAGATTTTTGCAAGACATTGGAGAGATACTACCAAATCAAGATATTGAATCCTAAAAGACTCCTACCAAAGACTGCGAATGATAGAACTAATGCATTAGTGATGTGCCATGGTAAAACCAGGAGCAAGAGGTAGAGCAGAAACAAAAACATCATTTACTGAGAAGTAGTTGACTGTTGACTAGAGCAGAAAGCCTTATCGTGTTTGCACTGAAATAATACGAGATTAAGAAAGCAACTCAGTGAGGTAAGGCAATAAAAGAAATTAAAATAACTCAAATTTACACCAGATAAAATACATTCACTCAAGATAAAATGACCAGGTAAATAGGATAGCAGTTATTTACTGCAGATATGGCATATGGAAAAACACTTAGATAATCTGGAAGTCCTAGGTTTGACACCAGAAGGTAACAATTCAAACAGG